ACCCTTCGTTAGAAACAGTTTTGCGAACTCGTGGTTTTGGTTATCGCGCACTGAACATTGCACTTGCCTCCAAAGCACTCGTGAGTTCAAACCCGTAATTAGCTCAATAGTGTTGAAGTAAACTCAGTCTTGAGATCACTAAACTTCTCAACTAGCTTTTTCGATTCTCATTTACTTCCATGAATTCTACACTATATGGACTGATGGTAATGTCTAATTATTATGATAGCAAGACAACGGGGAACAATTTCTGGAAAATTTGTCAAAGGGTACTTATGAAAATGCAGTGGAAGAACTTCAGCAAATGCGGGGAATTGGCGCGAAGGTGAGTATATTTACCTTGTTCAATTCATTCTATTTCGTTAATGATATTGGTGATTTAATGAAAGGCATAGCTGGACTTGATTTTGCTGAGGCCCGTGCGAAAAAAAAAGTCGGGTAGTGTGGTCGATTTCACTATCAATATTTGTTGAATTCGACCACAACGTGAGAACTTTGAGTCACACCACGAGAACTTCTCGTGATTTTTTTTCAAGGTTGCAGACTGCATATGTTTAATGGGACTACGCATGCATTTCGTTGTACCAATTGATACGCATACATTACAAATCACAGCAGAAAATTATTTGGGGACATTACTGCAAAGAAAATCCCTGCAAGAAAAGGATCGACGGCAAGTTGGTATGTCTTGAACTTCGCTTGATTTCTAGTTTATTTTTAATTTTTCAAAATCCTAAATAGTTCGGACCTCACTGTAATTAAGCATGGCCTAAATTTTTAACAAAACTCATGGTGAGTTCAGTATTCAAATATCAGTGTTTCAATACTCCATTAGTTTCATTTTATTACAGACCATGTGAAAAATTTTCAGCGGCTATTTGGCAAGAAAAGTTTGGTCCATACGCCGGTTGGGCTCAAGCTGTTTTATTCACAGCACATCTACGACAAATGAATATCAGACAGCCTACAAGGAGATCATTAAAGATAAAAACAGTAAAGCTATAAGAAAACGGCGTTGAACATCACAACACTATCATTATGCAAATATGTATGTATCAAATTTTTGACACATTAAAGCAGTAGATCACATCCAGGAGAATCCAATCCATTGTCTCGACCATTCTCAGTCGTCATGAATTCAGTTTTTTCGTTTTGAAGATCTGATGTTATTCTGATTCGTTTAGTTCTGGTTGTTTTGGGGATACCGCTTATCGTTCCCGACAGTTTCTAACTCTACCTCCTACCTCTTCATGATGTCTTTTTAAACTAGTGATGACTCGAGTTTGAACAGCACTTCCGAGATTAAATATATTAATCAGTTGGTTGGAGAAAGCCACCAGCAACCAGAGGGTCCATTCCAAGTATCACAAACCACTACAACAGAGTGTCTCAACATCTTTTGGGGAAGTATTGTTGCTCTTCTTAGCTCAGAAATTTTGATTTTTGGATATCTCCAAAATCCATACTTTTTCAGTTTATCCACAAATAAGCTGACAATATAGGAATTAAGCAGATCTGTCATTACGACTTCTAGCGTGAGTTCCATTGACGCGTATTCAAACCTGTTCATATGTGCTGTAACATTCTGACCGGCAATTCATTGTCTGAACCCAAGAGGAGAGACTAAGCGGGGCACGTCGCGGCATTTTTGTGCTGCAGAATTTTTTGTTCCTTGATCCTAGATCATATGTTGGAAGTATACTAAAAAATGCAACATAAATGAACTAATATCTAGCTTCACTTCGAAATCATTTTTCTTCATAGTAGCTCGTCTGTTAGAAACCCAACTTTTAGCATAATTATGGGGTCGGGAAAGAAGCCATCACAAGATCGTGAAGTGTACAGCGTAATATACCTAAACGTGTAATGCCGTCTCACCCCTTTCAAGTCACATTATCATTTACCTTGCTAGAACAGATGTCTGATATTATCACTGATTTTAACAAATAAGGTTTTCAGATATGCATAAACAAAGCTCTGCCATCAGACAATTAAGTTCTTATTTCCAAAACAAAATAAAGAGTGGTGCCACTCCAAGGTCCACAATCCGCTGTACAACAAAAAATGGAGCACAAAATGAATAGAAAAAAAAGGTAAAGTTGCTGCAAGCAGGATTATTCTATACGACAGAGTGAAACCTTAACACTTGACAAAATATCCAAATATTTGTAAAATATCAAATGAACCTATAGATAAAGGATTTGAGTCCTCCATGCTCTCTGCTATGTAAAAAAAAAAAAAAACAAAATAATGACCGCTGGATAACCTTCCCGGATATCTTCCATTAAGTAGTGAAGACTAGTTGAGATGATTTTCCTATTTTAATGATAAGAAGCTAATTCGATGTTCAGACCGAAATGAAGGAGCCCAAACTGTAACCTGTAGATTAGATCACTCGTGGACCGTCATACCATATAGGCACCGGTGCTGAGATCACTCCATTGCATTGCGGAAAATATAAAGGCAGAGAGTATACAACCTCCCTGTATACCTGGAGAGAAAAAACGAAAACTTCTGAGACCAATTAGGAGAAACAAAAATGCATAATCAAATTCCAACACCACTGAATATGCGTACATCGTGAATGGTTTTACCTTATTTACTTAGTAAAAATGAAACTCCTACACTTCTCTGTCTTATAAACATAAAATTTCATCTTTAGTTTACAAAAATGATGACAGAAATATTATTTAGGGATTTTCTTGAATGCAAAAGCATTAACAAAGAAAACACCTACTCGTTTTGAAACAACCAACGAACAGGCGTATCTAGTGGAATCATTCAAGTCGCATTATCTAGAAAGAATATATTGAAGTCCGCATATTCAAAGTGGTTATAATTAAATTAAACTAACAAAAAGGGAAGAAATCACTAGCTAACATTAAGCAGGGCATCAAGGAAAAGTGGACTTTTGGAGAGGAATATACTGCTTACTCATCTTACCGACAATAAATGGAAGGCATGTACCAACACTCGATGAAACACGACCATTAACCGTTAATCTCAAAAATGCAATGCGTGTTTTTACATTTTTTCGAACAAGCCTGGAATTCTTAATGTCTCATTAATAACAATAGTAGTGCCCTGAGAATGAAGCAATCATGGCAATGTCAACGAACATGATAAAGTGTCAAGAAACAAAAATAAATTTAACAATTAAAATATTGCCAACATCAAGCCATTAGTTGCAAGTTGCTTTATTAAGACTTGTTTGCAACTTTACGATTTGCTGCTATACTCTAAATGCACTTCTAGTAATAACTACCGATTTAAATAAAGTCTGCCTAAATGCACTTCTAGTAATACCTACTGATTTAAATGAATAGTTTTCTCTAAATGCACTTCTAGTAATACCTACCGATTTAAATAAATAATTTGCTCTAAATGCACTTCTAGTAATACCTACCGATTTAAATAAATAGTTTCAGGTTTTCATAGCAAAATAAGATTAATCCAACATCCGAAATTAGCAATACCGAGATACTTACATACAATGAATGCTACCAGTAATTGTATGCGTCAGTTAAACGCCGATTGAAACGGGCAGGAAGATTACTCACCTCACATGCAACATACTTTTTTTGACCATATCTAGTGATTTAATGAATTCTTCATCAGTAGTATTTTAAAATTTTAGATATTATGTTAACCAGTAGCATCCAATACGTTCTGAAGACCAACTAATTTAACATGGAAATGCCTCATTACGTCTGCAGAGAAGGAAGAGAAATATAATACCGATATATGTAACAAAATTATAACAGCATCAATAAAATAAAACATAATAAACTGCCTAACTTTCCAAAAATGATCCTAGCGAAATCATTAGCCAATTTCCTCCAAGAAAATTTTCTTGCCGATGAACTCAAGAATGTTGCAACATGAAATCTACGGATAACGACGCGATCGAAATATACTTTTCATATTCTTAGCACAACAGAGGTTTAGATCTCACTCTTGTCCAGGGCATGCGATATACGGATATCACAGTTTGATGTATCACCATAGTTTGGGGCAATATTATTCAAACGTTCATTACTAACATCGTTGTCATCACCACCATCACCATTATCATCATCGTCATCATCACCATTATCATTAACATCATTATTGCAATCATGCCCCTCCTCTTCTTCATCAAACTCATGTCCTATCATATTCCCTGTCGTTGCCACACCACCATTGCTCGTTGCAGCAGCTATCATAATCGCTTTTTTTGAAGTTCATCCGCAACTTTCACCCAATTCACATTTTTCGTCCTTCGAGCCAGATAATGAACTTTACTTCGACGCTGATCACGAACTGCTTTCTTCAGAATATTCATAACACGCTTTTCCACTTTTCTATCGGCTTTAACGTCGTGTGCAGTCAGTGTTTGCTTCAGATCTCTGTTTGGATAAGATGACGTCAATAATCCAGCAATATTGACGCAATTATCCTCAATTTGCGAATCGTCTACTCCACTTCCAATAGCTTCCACGTTCTCCTCATACGACAAATCCATACCATTAAGATTTTCATCTTTATCTGCTTCCATTTTAATGTTCCCTAGAAATGACTGGAAACTTGGCGGCAAACATCCAGCAATTGCTTGTAACCCATCTAACTCATTTCGTTTAATTTTAACTGGTAGATGTGAAACTGGTGATCCACGATTCGATGAAATATCTGCTTTTTTCCTGTTTTCATCAACCTAAAAGTATACATGGGATTAAGAGAAAAGAACAAATTAAAGAGCAAAATCACGCAATACAATGCTTTCGCGAGGATTTCACTTGACATGTACGGGAGTCACTAATTTCCAGTGAAAGCACCTCCACACACGTTTTTAGCAAACAAAGCTAGTCGATAGTGCTAAAAAACAAGTGTGATAGAAAAAAGCGACCACCACTTAAATGTTGAAAGCAAACTTTTTTCAAACGTGGCGTTTTCGGCTTGTAGCAATGAAGAGATATTTCGCCGGTACTTCGTTTTGATCCTACTTCGTATTTTGTACCCTTAACATAATGGAATAGAACATAACCCGCATCTTCATATGTAGTAGTGACTTCATAACGCCTGCAAATTCAACTTCCTGTGGTCAGCTTAAATGCTCGACATGTGGAACGCTTTTCCAATCGTGGCGATTTCATCGGGTTTTCTACTACGGCTACTAATACTAAGTGCTAATACAATATATTCTTCAAAGTTTAGTCGTGCTAAATTGACCAACTAAATTAATATACTAAGTGCTAATACAATATATTCTTCAAAGTTTAGTTGTGCTAAATTGACCAACTAAATTAATAAACCACTTTCAATACTACGAATCGTTACCTAGTTTCAAGTCAAAGTTCACAAGAGGTTATAATTTAGAAAGCATATGAGTGAAAAAGATACATGATTCGGCCATCCTCAAAATCGTCTCCATTCCCACTGAAAAACCGTGTTATGCATAAATTATCAGGCAACAAACCACTGTCATTATTGTCGAATGAATAACCATCCTGCCTTAAATGTTCTCGCATCTGTAATGAAACTGATCTAATATATTTAAGATACAAATTTAAAAAAAAAACAAATAGTGCATCTTGAATTCGAAAATCTTCCTAGGCTATATCATGATGCAGTGGAACACAAGATATCTAATTCTTTTTCAACTTAGATAATTTATACCATCACACCAATGGTAAAAAGAGAGGGTCATTTCGTATTATTACATTAGAGAAAAATTAACCTGCAGCATATCTAGTTCCAGTTCGCCGTTATCTTTACTATCGTAGATTACTATTGTTCCTGGCTCTGGCAACATCAACGGTGCTTCGCGGCATACGAACTGTGTTGTTGTTTTGGCTTTGGCTGTAGAGCAAAATGTACAAATTGTTAACAAATAAAGATAGTGAAATAACCCGATTAGGAAATCGAGCACACCGCCAGCAATACAAGCGAATAATGCCTTATAAAAGGAGAATCCAATAGAATTATGGAAACTCCGAAATATTTCGATTCCCATATACTGTATTGAAGTGCGTGTTATTACGATGGTTGTAAGAAAAATTTTCTTCATGAATCGGGATGCAAACGATACTATGTGGTTCATCCGCTATCACTATCCACAAAACATACGCTATTGAACTATTCATTCCTTGGAACATTGTGAAAACAATAACCTGACAGGATATCTCATGTAAACGCAGTTATCTAAATTGAAAAAAAAACTGATTCATAGTAAAGGCCTAATATGAAACACAGAGATTATCTGAAAATTTCTGATAACTCTCCTGTACTTTTTATTAGTATAGTACTGACAGAGTGAAGATAACAACTGAAAATATTATAAAGGCTTACCGAGCAACCGAGCATAATCAGCAAATGAAAGCAAGCTGTACTGATCGCTGATATGTACTCGATCCTGACATTCCTGCATACTTTCCAACAATTTTCCAATTAACCGATGGATTATTTCATACTTCTTCTCATCAGCCAATGAGGCGTACGGAGCATAAATATCAGACATTAAACGGCTCGAAACAGCAAATACTTGCTGATTCGCAGCCGCCGCACTTTCCATTGCTCCTGCATTGTTTGCTATAGGAAATAAAAATAATTAATATATCAGTAATATGAGGGGGATTGATATGCTGAATGTGAATAAATATTAACAAGTTGGACTACATTTTTTACATTTCTCAAGCACTAATTCCTCTTAGCTCAATAAATATGACCCATATTTCATGACTTTTTCTTTTATGATTTGGCTAAATATTTACAATGAACAAACATGGAAAAAGACCACTTACGTTCTTCTTGCGGAGCTACCGAACCATTTTCACATTTCAAAGCCTCATCGGGATGCTTGTTACGTAGATGTTCCCACATTCCCTTGGTAGATGACTGAGCATCCAAACGCAATTCTTTCCGCATACAGCTCATCAAACGACACTTGACAATTCTTTCCGTATCAGCTCTACTATAACCATCTGATTCGTAGAGATCGAAATAACGCCAAACCACGCTTTTTTTCGGGAAATATGGCATGGAAAGACGTAGCCAAGTACCACTCGTACTGAGAATTGCTGGTGCTATTTCATCTGAGCATATCGCAAGGTTCGCATTTGGGTTTTCTGATGATGATGATGGTCCTTCATCCATCCTTTCCTTAAAATTAAACACTTTCAATGCGCTATAACGACAGCGTAAATAATCGGCCCGAAAGTTAGTCGACACTTAATACGTTGAGGTGAGGAATTTTTAAAAGGGATTGGAACTTACGTGAAGCGAATAGGTTGATCCCACAGGTTTCTAAAACTTAAAAACGAGTACCACCTTGGAACATTAAACTCACTGATCTGTAAGATGTCGGAAAACCTTTTAAAATACCATTGCATTAACCAAAAAAAAAAAACAACTCCGTTTTATGTCACACACATAACTGAACCAGACTGGATGTCGAGCAGTTGGATGGATGTGACAGATCGGTAGCCGGTTGATTTTCCGGAAATGTTATGAAGGTAAGCACTGCAATGTGAATCCCTCTGTTTATTTTTCACAAAGTAATGAAATCCAGTACTCCTTACAGCTGCAAACTTCGGATACCGAAACATTACCCGGACAGCACTTTTCTATAGCATAATGGAAAATCCGTACGCTAGGATCCTCTGTTCGCATTTCATAGCTGAATGTCATCCAAGACGGGAAGAGACTATCCCTCAATGCCCAACGGAGTGGAGGCTACTTTTCAATGTTCCAAAAACTCTTAGTGCCATCATTATTGGTCAGTGTGAAATCAGCAAACATCTGAATAAAATCAACAATAACGGGAGGGTATGACTGCGGCAGACTGGCGGGAGAGTAGTGGTATTGAGAGACGGATCGATCGATAAACAGATGCTACTGGACTATGGAAAAGTCGTCTATTGTGGTTGGGAGGTATGACATGGTGAGGTCTCAGTCAATTCACGGATCAGTGTATTGATCGATAGATGGGATGATGGATAATGCATCTGTACACCAAAACGATCAATAATTCCCAGGGTTAGAAAAACAGGAAGAGTAGAATGTAATGCAGGGATGGATGGATATACAGATCGATGGAATGGGGAAAGGGAGCAAAAGGAGTGAACCATCCTCTTCCACCTGCACGGGCTGATGGTATCGATGGACGGGAGGAGGGAAAGGTCGGGACGGAAGAGGACGGCGCGGGCGAGGAAGGGTCGCTTAGCAGCGTCAGCAGCAACCGCACGCTTTTGGGGGGGAAGAAGAGG